TTCTTCTATAGCAATCAATTTCTTCACTAAAGATTTCGCTTCCGTCAATGCGTCAGCGCAGAAAATTGCTTCGATTCCTGAAGCTATTAGAAACGTGAACCAGGTGAACTTCAGTTAAGGTGAACTGTGATTTTCTCAGGAGATACCTGTCATGTCGTCTAAGGAATTCTCTATGTCACTAAGTTTATGAATAGTCCTTTCGAGTTTTTCCTCAAACGCTTTCGGATGTTTAAAATCAGCGAATTTTTGGCTGAGATCAGCAAAGATGTTCTAAAAAACGAAGAAGTAAGCATATAGAAACAGCCAATAAAGGCATGTTGTCCGAAAAGTATCACCCCAACCTTAGCATGCGCAAATTGGTCATGAAATCGTTCATTATTCTTCCTTTCACCCTCTTCCAGCCATGAAGCCGTCTTTTCCAAGGCCGTTGACCATGTCGCGAACTCACGAGCCAGCTCCTAAAGAGCTGACCACTTAAAGAACACTTTTTAAAGATGGAAAACCATGCAGAACACATTAGACGTCGAAAAGCTTTCCGTAGAAGAAAATCGAATGTGACAGAGTGTTCAAACACAATTTTTGGTGAAAAAAAAGAAACAGCAGACAAAAGAAGTAATTCATTCCGTTAGGCTATGACCAACTGATCGCTGTTAACGGGGGTTTGAATTAAAAAACACTTCTTTTTTAGGAGTTTTCTTTGACATGTTACATAGAAAGAAGAAAAGCGAAACGTATAAAAGAGAATACAAATTAGGGAAATGCATTTGAAAAAATCTCAACAGTATGCTATACTGTTAACAATAAGCAAACCATCAACTATAGAAGGTGAAACATATAGCTTGAACCTCTCTGCTAAATTTGTTGAGACGCCTTCTACTCCTATATCCCGTTACAAACTCAAATATACAGTTCTTCACAAAACAACTAGCTGAGTTAAATACTAATTACTTGCTCTGATAAAGGTGCTCATTTATCATATAAATATGTGTGAATATAAACAC